TCAAGCGATTCTCCTGCCTCAGCCTCAAGAATAGCTGGGATTACAGGCATGTGCCACCATGCCCCACTTTTTATATTTTTAGTAGAGACAGGGTTTCACATTTTGGCCAAGCTGCATTCTGAGCTGTGATCGTGCCACTGCACTTGCAGCCAGGGTGACAGAGTGGGACTCTGTCTCAAAAAAGAAAATTAAAACGCTTTTCAAAATGTGTACACTATATTATTTTCAGGCTTTTCAACACTCAGGTTCTTCCTTTTCCCCTCCCCAGACTCTGGTTCCTTCTGTCGTAAAATTACATGAGTCGATGCTGGGTGTGTGGTGGCTCATGCCTGTAGTCCCAGCTACTCAAGAGGCTGAAGTGGGAGGATTGCTTGAACACGGAAGGTGGAGGTTGCAGTAAGCCAAAATCATGCCACTGCACTTCAGCCAGGGTGATAGAACAAGACTCTGTCTCAAAAAAAAAAAAAAAAAAAAAAAAAATTACTGGATGTGGTGGCTCAAGCTTATAGTCTCAGCACTTTGGGAGGCTGAGGAGGGTAGATCACCTGAAGTGGGGAGTTGGAGACTAGTCTGACCAACATGGAGAAACCCTGTTTCTACTAAAAATACAAAAAAAAATAGCCAGGTCCAGCTACCAGGGAGACTGAGGCAGAAGACTCGGTTGAACCTGGGAGGTGGAGGTTGTAGTGAGTGGAGATTACATCACTGCACACCAACCTGCGCAACAAGAGCAAAACTGTCTCAAAAAAAAAAAAAAAAAAATTGGTTCTCTATAGAATACATTGTATTAGTCAGGGTACTGGCAGGAAACGGATGGAACATTCAAGTGGGTAACTGAGTCTGCCTAGTGAGGCATCCTGGGGCTGGCAACAGTGAGGTGTGAGGACCAGCTGTACGTCTGAAGGGACACATGGAGAGCAGTTGCTGGAACCCAGCTCTGAGTGCTTTCCAGTAGAAGTGGTGGTCTTTGGTTACAGCTCCCCACAGACCAGCCAGAAGGGAGCTGGGAACTAATGATCCCCTCCCTCTCCTCCTGCCCTGTGTGTTCCTGCTGCTTCCCACTGGCTGAACCTACCTGGCTGCTGGGAGCCAGGGAACCCTGACTGAGTCCAGAGCAGGGTAGAGATGGAGAGATGATGAGGTCAGAGTGGGTCTGGAGGGGCCCAGGGAAGCTCTCCAGCGAGACTATGAAAGCTGGTTCCAGCAGCCCAGGCTTCATGATCTGCTAAGTCATTAACAGAAGCACATGCCACAGCATGATTCTTTTCTTGGTTTATTGCTTAGTAGAGAAACAGGCGTTTTAACACTGAAGAAACATCTCACAAACTGTTGCTCCTAGATTACAAAGTCAAAGCCAATTTTCTTTGACGCTGGGCTTTTGAACCTGACGTTCAAGTCACCGTAATAGAAACCAGAGCTGCTACACCTTACATTCTGGAAGGTACCTCAACAAAGGCATGCTAAAGACTGTTTAAAACTTCCAGCATGTAAGAAGATCCGACTTTCCTTCCCACACCTTTGGATAATCCCAAGAGAATCCCAGTCATCTGCTGTTGAGTTTGAGAAGGCCAAGTTCAAGGATTCCAAACTCCAGCCTTCAATATTTCTGCAAAGACTCAGAGAAGTAACCTCCCCCTTCTCTCCTGCTGGCTTCCCCAAGTACAGATGCAGGTCTTCCTGGGACCAGGCACCGGCAAGTCAAAGCATCTCACCGGTCTCATCCCTGGGCTTCTCCAAAGGGCTTTTGGTGGAAGAAGCTTTAATTTCAGTTTTGGTCAATCTTCTGTCCTTAGAAAAGTCTTTTTTGTTAAGAAAAGGCAGGGAGGGTTAACTAAGTTCTAAGAATTCAACAAGAAAAGGAAATAGGTTCCTTTTATGAAAAGGACTTCCAGGCTCTCTGAGCCAGTAATTGAACTGAAATCACTTTCCTGAGTGTCTCCACATGGAATATTCAGCACTTTTCTCCTAGCAGCCAGAGGATGGGCTCTGTGTACACTGAGTGCCACTTAAAATGCTCTCATTAGATGCAGTAAAAAGCTACTCTTGACTCCCGTAGGTCAAACTCACATGCCTCTGGGCCGCGCGCTGCAGCATTAGCTGTAGGAATAACAGTAAAGGTCCTGCCCGACGGCCATGAGCAGCCCTGGCGTGCCCCGGGAGCCCCCCAGCCGCGATGAGAAGGCTACACTGGGAATGTCAGCCTTGGAGGCAGGGTATGGGGAGGGTATGGTTCTGAGTAGGTGGGCATCATGGAGGCTCCAGATTCTCGTGTAGCAGTCCTGGCCCACTAGGAAAGAGGGAAGACACATGGCAGGCTAGTGAGAGAATGCAAAGGAAACTTACCTACATGTGGACATTAGCTTCTCAAGATTCCTCAGGGCTGTGATTTCAGGTGAGCCATAACACAAGCTCATTAATGGACAGTATTTCTACAGATAATGTAAGTCGCCCTGCTGGGCTAGAACAATGACAAGATGTCCTGGTTGGCTGTGTGATGCCATGAGTGGCTCAGAGGTATCCTGGCTAATGGCTGGGGATTCTGCTGCTCTTTTTTTTTCTGAGACACAGTCTCGCTCTGTGGTCCATGCTGGAGTGCAGTGACGCGATCTCAGCTCACTACAACCTCTGCCTCCCAGGTTCAAGTGATTCTCCTGCCTCAGCCTCCCAAGTAGCTGGGATTATAGGCGTGAGCCACCACGCCCAGCTAACTTTTTTATTTTTAGTAGAGACGGGGTCTCACCATGTTGGTCAGGCTGGTCTCGAACTCCCGACCTCGTGAACCACCTGCCTCAGCCTCCCAAAGTGCTGTGATTACAGACGTGAGCCACCATGCCTGGCCAATTCTGCTGCTCTTGATGTCAAGGAATGTTCAAGTGTGGGTGCAGCCCACCTGTTCCAGGTGACATGCAACTGATTTCCCCCATTTTTTAGACACAAGGTCTTGCTCTGTCGCCCAGGCTGGAATGTAGTGGTGCGATCAGGGCTTACGGCAGCCGTGAACTCCTGGGCCCAAGCCATCCTTCTGCCTCAGCCTCCTGAGTTCACTGTGACTACAAGTGTGTGCCACCATGCCTGGCAAATGTTTTTTTTTTTTTTGAGATGGGGTCTTGCTATGTTGCCCCAGCTGGTCTTAAACACCTGGCCTCAAGCCCCCTAAGTGCTGGAATTACAGTTAACATGCCTGGCCTGATTTCCTTTCCATGATACAGTAACAAGCCCTGTCAAATTCACTATGTCCTGGAGATGACTAGGTTAACAATTCTTCCGAGAGCTCTTTCTGCTTTAATGGTTCAGTTCCTAAGACCGGTTTAAGTCTTCAGGGCTCCAGTTCCGAGAACTGTGACACACAACACCATGGGTTACGGTAGCCCAGAAACATGATACACACTACTGGAGACCTTCAGCAGGAGAAGAGGACAGGCCTTGGGCAGTCATGGATTTCACATTTGTGATTTTGACCACTTGTGTGACTCTAAGACCGGAAATGCTACCTTGGGTGAAGCTGAATCCCGGCTGTAGTTTATTATTGCAGCCGGCAACTACCTGAATCTGCTTCTCAGCAAGGCTGAGCTCTCTTTATCATCCAGCTCACAGAAGCTCTTTTGTGGTCAAAATGGGTGAAAAATCGACTTAAAAAGGAAGCAAAGTGCTGGTGTGATGAGAATAATAACTAAGTCTAAGAAAGTTCTCATAAAGTGATGCCTCCTAGCCACAAAAATGTTCCATGGGGATAAGCCCTTTCTAAATGAACACCAGTAAAGGTGACGATTCACAAAGACTGAGAACATAGTCTGCAGTCAGGGGCCCTGTTTCAATGTGAAACCCTGAGCTTGCACACTGTCTGATTATGCTACAGCCAGTATCATATGTAATCAACTGGTAACTCTTTTCCAGGAGCTTAGCGGCTGGATAGCTGCTCCTAATCTACAGATCATGGAGCCACAGAGATGCTGGTAAAGGGACCAAGAATTCTTTCTCGCTCTGTCACCAGGCTGGACTGCAGTGGCACGTTCTCGGCTCACTGCAACCTCTGATTCCCTGGTTCAAGCGATTCTCCTGCCTCAGCCTCCCGAGTAGCTGGGATTACAGGCACGTGCCATCATGCCCAGCTAACTTCTGTATTTTTAGTAGAAATAAGGTTTCACCGGGCCGGGCGCGGTGGCTCAAGCCTGTAATCCCAGCACTTTGGGAGGCCGAGGCGGGTGGATCATGAGGCCAAGAGATCGAGACCATCTGGGTCAACATGGTGAAACCCCGTCTCTACTAAAAAATACAAGAAATTAGCTGGGCATGGTGGCACGTGCCTGTAATCCCAGCTACTCAGGAGGCTGAGGCAGGAGAATTGCCTGAGCCCAGGAGGCGGAGGTTGCGGTGAGCCGAGATCGCGCCATTGCACTCCAGCCTGGGTAACAAGAGCGAAACTCTGTCTCAAAAAAAAAAAAGGAAAAAAAAAAAAAAAAAAAAAAAAGAAATAAGGTTTCACCATGTTGGCCAGGATGGTCTCGATCTCCTGACCTTGTGATCCGCCCACCTCGGCCTCCCAATGTGCTGGGATTACAGGTGTAAGCCACCATGCCTGGCCAGGGCCAAGAATCTTTATAATGACCATAACTTCTCAGTATCCTCTGGTGGATATGTGAGTAGAGAGCAGGGAGCCAAGTTTCTGGATAAGATAATAGATGGTGGGATACTGCTGGTCTGATGAAATCGACTTGAACTCCAAACCCAGGCTCCCCAGCACCTCTCCTGCCTGTTTCTGAAGTGATGTTTACCCACTGACATGGGATGAGGCTGTCCACCTGGTGGACATTTATTTATATTGCTGATTACTAATATATCCAATTCTACTTCCCTCCTAGTCTCCACACCAAACTGTCCACACTCCCCTTGATTCAGTTCTGTTTTGGGGTAACTTTTCCCTCTGGTGCCTAAGTTGCTGGGATCATCCCTAAGAGACACTATTTGATGGGATCGGAACTTCCCCTTCCTTCCTCAAGTACCTGCCATCAGGATTCCTTCTTCCTCATGCACATGCAGGGGCAGGTGGGCGTACTCGTTCACGTGGCCTTCATACTGCCTTATGCACCTAGTGGTCCTCAGGTCCCACAGCTTGATCTGTGGAAAGATGCACGAGGGGCCGTCACAGAGGGGCCAGGAGGACCCATCAGTGGACCCCAAGTGTGAAGCCAGGAGGGCAAGGTGGTCTCCAGTGGCTTGTGCAGGTCATGAAGATCTCCATCTCGAATTCCTGAGCCTTGAAGTCCATCAAAAGCATGTAACCAGGCTGGGCACAGTGGCTCACACCTGTAATCCCAACACTGGGAGGCTGAGGTGGGTAGATTCACCTGAGGTAGGGAGTTTGAGACCAATCTGGAGAAACCCCACCTCTACTAAAAATATAAAATTGCTGGGTGCAGTGGCTCACACCTGTAATCCCAGTACTTTGGGAGGTCAAGGCGGGCAGATCACAAGGTCAAGAGATGGTGACCAGCCTGCCAACATGGTGAAACCCCCATCTCCACTAAAAATACAAAAATTAGCTGGGTGTGGTGGTGTGCACCTGTAGTCCCAGCTACTTGGGAGGCTGAGGCAGGAGAATTGCTTGAACCTGGGAGGGAGAGGTTGCAGTGAGCTGAGATCGCACCACTGCACTCCAGCCTGGTGCCTGGTGACAGAGTGAGACTCTGTCTCAAAAAAATAAAAATAAATAAATAAATAAATAAATAAATAAAAATATAAAATTAGCCAGGCGTGGTGGCATACACCTGTAATCCCAGCTATTAGGGAGGCGAATCGCTTGAACTCAGGAGGCGGAGGTTGCAGTGAGCTGAGATTACGTCACTGCACTGCAGCCTGAGCAAGAAGAGTGAAACTGTCTCCAAAAAAAAAAAAAAAAAAGGCATGTAACCAGAGACTCCTTTTCACTTTTGTCTAGTCCAGATTAGGCTCACATGGGCAACAAAGCAGTCCCCATGCAGGGCTTACAAATCCCTGGGTCTTCAGCTACCTTCCCCTGCCTGGGGTCTTAATATGAGGACCTCTTCAGCAGAGCCCCTTCACCTGGCAGGGCTCCATGTTCCCCTACCTTTCCAGCCATGTCTGACGCCATCAGGCACTGCTCGTCTTGCAGAATCCGCACAGAGGTCACTGCTGAGTCATGAAACAGGCGGGTGGCCTTCCACCCCTTGCCTTGATTTCCACAACGCAGATCAATGGCAAAGATCTCCCCAGAGCGGCAGCCATTAAACAGCAGAGGAGCCTGTAGAAAGAGGGAGTGCTTGGTATGAGGCCACCACGACCTCCCTTGGAGGCTGCGCAGGGCAGGTCCTCCCGATACAACCCCTCTTCCAGCCCCTGGGTCAGATAGCGTGATTAGACACAGGCTGGTCAGGGTTTGGGTCTCAATGGAATTGGAAGGGAAGATGATTCCTTGTTAGTGGGTAGAAGAATCAGATCCCACGTGTCCTCCTCATGGGTAGCATAGAGATCCTAGGAGCTGCCCCCTGCACTGTCCCCTTTGGCCTTTCTCTCTCAAGTCCCAGTCAGAGATGGCATCCCTGTCTCCCCCAAAAGTAGGTTAGCAGATTCCTTCACTTTTAAGGAAAGATGGCATTTTCTAGAGGAAAGTCTTTAAATTATAGTAATAACCAGAATTCTGATTTTTTTTTTTTTTTTCTGATACCGAGTCTTGCTCTGTCACCCAGGCTGGAGTGCAGTGGCGTGATCTCAGCTCACTGCAACCTCCACCTCCTGGGTTCAAGCAATTCTCCTGTCTCAGCCTCCTGAGTAGCTGGGATTACAGGTGCCTGCCACTGTGCCCAGCTAATTTTTATATTTTTAGTAGAGAGAGGGGGTTTCACCATGTTTGCCAGGCTGGTCTCAAACTCCTGACCTCGTAATCCACCCACCTTGGCCTCCCAATGTGCTGGGATTATAGGCGTGAGCCACTGTGCCTGGCCTGATTTTTAAAATTGATAAAATATATAACTTGAGAGCCGTGTATTAATTAGTATTTAGGGTATACATTTTAGAAACGGTTTGTCCTGGTGGGTAAATCCAAGTACCCAAAAACTGCTCACAATTCTTTTCCACGAGAGGTTGTTTAGAGTGCCTCAGGCCAGACTTTCTGGATCAGACAACTTTTACTCGGCTCAGACACACTTACAGAGGAACCCACTGATCCTTTCTGATGCTCTTTTTCCCTGTCAAGGAGGACCAGATGGCACAGAGAGGAGTCCAATTTCCACCTGGGGCAAATCCGCCACATTTCCACCTGGGGCAAACTTTATATTCTGCCTGTCCCAATCCAACCAACCATGAGAGCAAACTGCTGGGCCAAGACATCACTGCTGGTTCCAAAGGACTGCCGGTGTCCCGTCACCACGTTGGTCAACAGGACCCGCCGAGACAAGCCTGGTGGAGACAGAGATAGGCTGGTGAGATTGTGTCACACACAGTCTAGGGAGAGCAACAGCTACATGGGGTTTTGAAGTCTGTTAAATTCTCTTCTCTGGGCACCTGGGGAGCCAGGCTCACCTGTACTGAAGCAGTTATTTGCTTGGATATTCAGGGACCAGGCACAGGACCAGGCACCAGGGATCCGGAAACTGCAGAGCATGCCAGGCCGGTCTATTCCTGCTGAGAGATTGGAGAATGTAAGGTGGGCCTACCCTTTAGGCGGGCCAGGGACCACCGGGTTCGCAAAACATCCAAATATGCCATCGCTGCTCAGAGGGTCTATCCCTTTGGCCCCATTCTGGGTTTTGTGGTTGCAAGAGAAGGAGACTCAGCTGGGATGCCCGGCTTGTAAGCGGTCATTCTGAAAATGAATGTATGTGACATTCTCAGTAGTTGTGTTCGCAGTACTAACACTACTGATAATCCAGGAGGTAGTAGGCTGCCGCAGGTTAGGTGGTTCCAATCCTCCATTACCTATCAGCTATGTGATCTCAAGCAAAGTGTGTGTGTGTGCGTCTGTGTGCATGTGTATATGTATGTATACATACACATTTTTTTTTTTTTCAGGGTTTTGTTCTTTTGCCCAGACTGGAGTGCAGTGGCGTGATCATGGCTCAATGCATCCTCATCCTCCCAGGATCAAGCAATCCTCCCATCTTAGCCTCCCAAAGTAGCTGGGACCACAGGTGTGAGCCACCACACGACTACTTATGTTTTTTGTAGAGACTGGAGTCTTGCTATGTTGCTCAGACTGGTCTTGAACTTCTGGGTTCAAGCAATTTTCTTGGTCTCCCAAAGTGTTGGGATTATAGGCATGAGCCGCCGTGCTTCGTCAAAATATTTAAAATAAACTTTTACATTGATAGAATGTACAGATTGTAAGGACAGAGTTCACGTCATTACAAACTATAGCCATGTAACCACCACCCAGGTTAAGAAATAAAACAATCCAGTATTCTAGAGGCCTCCCTCGTGTCCTTTCCCAATTACTACCTCCCCAAAGGGTACTGCAAACCTGACTTCTGACACTAAAAGTTAGTTTTGTAAGGCAAATTCTGAAGCTCTCTGTCTCAGTTTCCTTGTCTGTAAAATGGTGGTAAGACACACTCCTGCCTCATAAGCTTGCTGTGCAGTGAAACACCAGGCACTGGGCTGAGTGTGTGTGACCTCGTTTCTCTCTCCAAGGATGCAGGCTGGGAAGGCCTTGTCCACTTCAGACAGGTTCAACATTCCATTCAAGTTGGCAAGGGGTGGAGCTGGGATCCGTGCCAGGTCTGCCTGAAGCCCACAATCTTAAGAGGCCCCTCACCCTTGTGTTATTGATCCTAATTTTCTGATAGACTGAAAATGTAATCTATCCAGAATGCTGTCAGGAAGGAGGCATCCAATTGCCTTAATCCAGGCCGAATGTGAAGCATCCCTGATAGTACCTGTCATGCAGGAGCTCCAGAGGTGTTTTCTGAAAGATGTGCACAGGCATCCAAATCGGTGTTCTGAGCTCACCTTGGTTTACATACGCGTTAAGTCTACCCTGGCTGCTGAAATGACTGAAATGGCCCAAAATGGGTAAAACGGGGTAGATGGTGTAAAAAAGCACTTGCTTCTGGTACTCACCCTGGGACAGGCTCAGGGAATCCTCCCACAGTGTCTCTGCAGTGGCCCCACCCTCCTCTCTAAACATCCCCACACAGCTCTTGGGAGGCAGAGGACAGGTTTTTTCAAAGGAAGAGAACCCTGTACCTGGGTGACTATTGACAAACAGTGATGCTGGGAGCAGGGTGGCACAGCCTGGAGTCTCTGCGAGTCCCATGAGGCACAGCCTGGAAAAAGCTGTTAAGGACAGTCAAGCACAAGCCTCCCTCTGGGAGGAAGCATGGACATTTACCCTTCGGAAGGTTATACAGCACAAAGCAGGACAGAGAGTAACCCCCAACGTCCAGATGGAATATGCGTTCACACTGTCCACATTTAGCTTCAGAATTTTTTTTTTTTCTTTGAGACGGAGTTTCGCTCTTGTTACCCAGGCTGGAGTGCAATGGCACGATCTCGGCTCACCGCAACCTCCGCCTCCTGGGTTCAGGCAATTCTCCTGCCTCAGCCTCCTGAGTAGCTGGGATTATAGGCACGTGCCACCATGCCCAGCTAATTTTTTGTATTTTTAGTAGAGACGGGGTTTCACCATGTTGACCAGGATGGTCTCGATCTCTTGACCTCGTGATCCCCCTGCCTCGGCCTCCCAAAGTGCTGGGATTACCGGCTTGAGCCACCGCGCCCGGCCTAGCTTCAGAATTTTTTTAAAGGGCAAAAAAAATCAGATACAGTTAAAAGCTGGGTGTGGCGGCTCCTGCCTATGTAATCCCAGCACTTTGGGAAGCTGAGGCGGGAGGATCACTTGAGCCCAGGAGTTCGACACCAGCCTGGGAAACATGGCAAAACCCTGTCTTTACAAAAAATACAAAAACTAGCTGGGCGTTGCGGTGTGCGCCCGAAGTGCCAGCTACTTGGGAGGCTGAGGTGGGAGGATTGCTTGAGCCTTAGAAGTTGAGGCTTTGGGGAGCTGTGATCATGTGACTGCATTCCAGCCTGAGTGACACAGTAAGACCATGTCTCAAAAATAAAATACAACAAAAAAATCAAAAAGCCCTCTCTGATCTCTCCCTAGGCCAATTCTCCTTTCTCCTCTGCCCAGACAGAACTTTTCTTCTCAAATTGGTATAAGTTCTTCTAAGCCATTCTGTATTTTCACGACATAATTTGTCAATAAACAATATAAAGCAGCATTCATTAAAAAAACCCAAAAACCAGAAATGCATTATACAGAATAACTCACTACCAGCCCTTAAAATTTTTGCTTATCTGAACGGATACAAGGTGACACCTCACGGCTTTAATTTGCATTTCCCTGACTACATGTGGGTGTCTCTGTTCACATGATCGTAGTCATTGGCTTTCCCTCTCTGAACTGCCCCCTTATACCCTTGCCTACGTGTGTGTCTTCTGACTGATGTGGTTCCTCACCTTTCCCTCTGATAGCCAAACTTCTCTCCAGAGGAGCCGATATTCATTCTTACTCCCTCGTCTTTCCTCCACTGAAATCCAGGCCTGACCCTCACCTTCCCAGAGGAATGTTCTTCAATGAGCTCCTAGTTTCTAAATCTGATGGAAATGTTCCAGTTCTGCCCTATGGCCATGTAGCCCGATTTCTACTACACACTGCTTAGCCTCAACCCACCCCTCTCTGGGTTGTCCTGGACCTTCTCCTATCACAGGATGCCCATGCTAGAACCTGCGCCTGCCCCTCGGTGCCCGCCCCTCCGCTCCTGCTGTCTCAGTTCACACTCTCACCGCTGCCCTTAGCCTTGCAGCAGCTTCTGTCTGAGGACTTGCTTTCGCCTGTCTAGCCCCCAAAAATGTCACCAAAGGAATCATTTTCAAAAATGGCTCCACAATCCCAACCCCCTGGGATATCCCAGAGCCCTGAGTAAAATTCAGTCTTGAAAGGACCTCCTCCCTAGCCAGAGACATCGTGAGTATCAAACTGCTGCCAAACATAGTAAGCTTTCTCCCAACTCTTCCTTCGATTAGGGGTCCCTGGCCTCTTCCTGTCCTCGTGGGTCTCACTCCAGGAAGGCTGCTACAGTCCCTCCTGCACACGGCTCTCCTCCCGAACTGATGACCTGTGGAGCTGCCCGTTTCTAGCTCCTTGTGACTGCATATGCTCGACAGGTGTTGGCTGAATGATCACACACATTCCCCACTGGAAAATGTAAACATCTAAAAATCAATCAGGTAACTTAAAAAATCTTTTTAAGAATTTTATTTGTATCTATATTTTTGAAATGGGGTCTTGCTCTGTCACTGACGTTGGAGTGCAGTGGTGCAATCTTGGCTCACTGCAACTTCCGCCTCAGCCTCCCCAGTAGCTGTTATCACAGGAATGCGCTACCACATCCAGCTACTTTTTGTATTTTTAGTAGTGCTGGGGTTTCACCATGTTGGCCAGGCTGGTCTTGAACTCCTGACTTCAAGTGATCCGCCTCGGCCTCCCAAAGTGCTGGGATTATGGGAATGAGCCACCATGCTCAGTCATTTTTCTCTTTTTTCTTTTTGAGATGGGGTTTCACCATGTTGGTCAGACTGGTCTCGAACTCCTGACCTCAGGTAATCCACCCGCCTTGGCTTCCCAAAGTGCTGGGATTACAGGTGTGAGCCACCACGCCCTCTCTCTCTCTTTTTTAAGAGACATAGTCTCTCTCTTTTGCCCAGGCTAGAGTGCAGTAGTGTGATCACAGCTCACTGCAGTTTTGAACTCTGGGGCTCAAGTGATCTCCTCCTTCAGCCTCCTGAGTACCTGGAACTATAGGCATGTACCACAATGCCCAGCTAATTGAAAAAAAAATTTTTTTGGTAGAGAGGAGGTCTTGCTGTATTGCCCAGGCTGGGTCAATTCTTGGCCTCAAGCAATTCCCCAACTTTGGCCTCCCAAAGTGCTGAGATTACAGGTGTGAGCCACTGTGCCTGGCCAGCTAACATTCTTGACCATCTGAATATGTGATATGTATGTGACATACCGTTTTGGGTGTTAAGCTCCAAGTTAAGTTATCTCCAGGACAGAGAGGCTGCTGAAACTGTAAATAAGAACACTGTCACCAAATCAACTTATTTTCCTTCTGGGACTGGAGGGCAAGCAGTGAAGAAAGTGGGATGTGCACTTTAGTTACTGTTGCTGAATTCCAGCTTGCTTATACACAAACTTATGGGGCCAGGCTAAGATTCAATCCTTTGACAGGCTGCAGGGTAACTAAGGGCCCAGTAAGTGTAGAAAGAATTCCATCTAACTTCCCACCACTCTTGCAGGGAAAATGCAGAGTGCGGGTCTGAACAGGATATCATTTCTCTAAAGGGAAAAAGTTCTCTGAACTTCTGAAGCAGCACAAAAAGCCTTTAGCACAGGCCAAACATGGTGGCTCATGTCTGTAATCCAGCACTTTGAGAGGCTGAGGCGGGCGAATCATCTGAAATGAGGAGTTTAAGACTAGCGTGGTTAACATGGTGAAAACCTGTCTACTAAAAATACAAAATTAGCTGACCGTGGTGGTGGGTGCCTGTAGTCCCAGCCACTTGGGAGGCTGAGGCAGGAGAAACACTTGAACCTGGGAGGAGGAGGTTGCAGTGAGCTGAGATTGCGGCACTGTACTCCAGCCTGGCCGACTAAAGTGAAACTCTGTCTCAAAAAATAACAATAATAAATAAATCTTTAGCACAAAAGCCCGAAGATTACTAGAAACACAAGCCACAGATGAAGCTACAACAGACCATCCGTCCCTTTAAGCCCAATTACACAGATTTTTTCTTCCCCCTCCTTAGCCCACAGAAACATGAGAACACCACGCTGTTTTAAAAGACTGGAAGTGAGAGCGAGGTTCTTGTTTTTTGTCTGCAGAGCTTGGCCTCTTTGGCCCTCTAGATCATCACAGTAACAGGTGGTCGGTCTCATCAGCCTACAGAACCCCGTCAAATGAAAGCCACATACAAATTTCAATTTAGAGGACACACATAGCTTCTACAGTGCCTTACATAAATTTATAATCAGGTTGCTAATGTACTTTAGGCTTTAAAACCCTTTGAAATGTAAGCTGGGTGTGGTGGTACATACCAATAGTCTCAGTGACTTGGGAGGCTGAGGCAGGAGGATCACTTGAGCCCAGAGTTCTAGGCTGCAGTGAGCTATGACTGCACCACTGCACTCCAGCCTGCGTGACAGGGCAAGACCCCTTCTCTGAAAAAAAATTAAATAAAACCCAAAAAACTCCTTTGAAATAGAGTGCTGTGAAACAAATAAAATTTTAAAAAGACTCTGATTCAGTTATTTGTTGAGGACCAATGATGTGCCAGAAACTGCTCGGTGCATTCACAGGAGCTAACTAATGTTAATCTCATGACAACTCAAGAAGTAGGCGTTAAATACAATGAGTGGTCACGTAGTTTCCAGAACACACTGTTTTTTCTTTTTTTCAGACAGTTTCACACTTGTTGCCCAGGCTGGAGAGCAATGGCACGATCTCGGCTTACCGCAACCTCCACGTCCCAGGTTCAAGTGATTCTCTTGCCTCAGCCTCCCTGAATAGCTGGAATTACAGGTACCTGCCACCACACCGGGTCTAATTTTTTGTAGTAGAGACGGGGCTTCTCTAAGTTGGTCAGGCTAATCTCGAACTCCTGATCCACTCGCCTCAGCCTCCCAAAGTGCTGGGATTATTGGTGTGAGCCGATGTGAGCCACTGCACCCAGCCTAGAACACATTTAACATGAGAATGAACAGAGGACAAGAATCATTAACGTGGCTTTGGGTGATCAAGTCTTGTGCCCCCAGAGGTCCCAGAGGCCAGGGACCACGACACTGTACTACTGTGCTCCCGTCAAAGTGACTCTGCTTGCTCTTCAGGAAGGCAGAGACTAGTGTGATTAGTGCTCTATGAAGCTGCTGCTGGCAGGGACCTGACGCCCAGAACTCACAGACCCATGTCCACTGCCAAAAGAACCCCCTCTCTGACCCGGCCCTCCTGAACACTGCTTTCCTGCCTGGCCCCAGGAGGAGCCGGGCTTCCTGCCCAGGCTGTGCTGCTCCTTTCCACTTGCCCCTCTGCTACCGCACCAGCTCTCCGGCAGGAATACGGTCTGTGTAGCGAACCCACAGCCTCTGTCACACGCCGCAGTGGTAGAATGGGCCAGCTCTGGAGCCAGACTGCCTGAGTTCCCATCTTGTCTCCACACATGGATGTGAAGGTTCAGACAGTGTCTGGCACACAATGACATCAATGTCATCTTGAGAAACTACCATGATGGGACCTCAGCTGCTTCTCTGTGCTTCACGGGTGTCCTTGTGTTTTAGCCAGGTATGCTGCCTGTTTCTAAAACGTGAGATGTAAGTGGACAAAGGCCTGGCCGTCTGGTCACTAAGATGCCATGTCAAGAAGCTTACAGATGCCCGGGCCCACATCAGGGTGTGGCCTGCCCACCAAACCTCTTCCTCTGCCAAAGGATACAGAATATGGGAATCCAAGTGATTCAGCGAGGCCCAGCACACCGAGTTCACCTGGTGAGGAAACACACAGGGAGATGGAAAGTTATGCTACAGTAAAATGCTTTACTGTGGCATAACCTGTGGGGACACAACATCTTTCTTCAGGTCTTGCTCCTCTTCAAATGGGCTGGAACAACCGTTGTGAGGGCAGGGCACTGCGCAGGATGGGAAGTGACCCCTGTGCCCTTCAACAGTCCCATGGGGAGACATTTGGTGTATCTGGCATACCCTCTGGATAGGGCTGAATTCTCTACAATGGCAGGAGATAAGCCTAACTCTGAAGGTGTGTCTTTCTTCACCCAGAAACCATTTTCAACTGCTATCCATCTTGTGGCTTACGTCCCAGTTGAATAGGAGGTCACAGTTTCTCACAGATGCTGCCATCACCCCACTGCAACTTAAAGGCTGCTCCCTAGACAGCAAGCTCCTCTTACGGACTGAAGCCTCAGTGCGGCCGCAGACTGGCTGGATGACACATCACTCTGACACACAGGGCAGGACCCCTCCCATCCAGGCCCCGGTCACTGTGGCCCATGTCCAAGGAACTCTGCCCTGGTGTGGGCCTTTTCAGATCAACTCCTGGACCCCTGGAGGGACAGTCTTGAGATCAGTTAAAGAAGCGCTGCTTCAAACTACTCCGACCATCTAATTTCATTTTCTTTTCCAAGACAAGAAACTTCTGGGGCCATTTTCTTTCCCTGTGGGTTCTCAGCAACTAAAAATCCTTTTTTTTTCTTTTTTTTTTTTTTTGAGACGGAGTTTTGCTCTTGTTACCCAGGCTGGCGTGCAATGGCGTGATCTCAGCTCACCGCAACCTCCGCCTCCAGGGTTCAGGCAATTCTCCTGCCTCAGCCTCCTGAGTAGCTGGGATTACAGGCACGCGCCACCATGCCCAGCTAATGTTTTGTATTTTTAGTAGAGACGGGGTTTCACCATGTTGACCAGGATGGTCTCGATCTCTTGACCTCGTGATCCACCCGCCTCGGCCTCCCAAAGTGCTGGGATTACAGGCTTGAGCCACCGTGCCTGGCCTAAAAATCCTTTTTTTGAGACAGGCTCTTGCTCTGTTACCCAGGCTGGGGTACAGTGGCACGATCACGGCTCACTGCAGCCTTGATCTCCTGGGCTCAGGTGACCCTCCCACCTCGCTTCCCCACTGGACCCCGAAGTAGCTGGGACTATAGGTATGCGCCACCACACTCGGCTAATTTTTTTTTTTTGGGTAGAGACAAGGTTTCACCACGTTATGCTCTCAGGTTGGTTTGAAACTCCTAGGCTCAGGTAAAAATCAAGTCTTGTGGGAAAATGAGGTAACCATCTTCTGCCCTCTTCCCAATCGCTCTCTACTCTAAATTTGGCCAACTACCCCAGGGCCGAGTGTGCAGCAAGGCCACAGGGACGGGCACTGTACCTTCCGGTTGGTGAAGTAGAGGTTTTCGTGCATGAACACCTTGAGCGTGGGGGTCTTCAGACTCTGCAGATTGATGATGCCATACTTGGAGCCTCCGACTTTGACATCATTGACTGTGAAGAGCCGGTCACTGTTGGTATCTGCCTGGAGAAGGGAAGGGGGCACTGGGTGACCTCCCAGGCTCTGGTGGGTTGCCTAAGAGGGACCTGCCCGTCTCTCCTGGCCCCCCATCCTCTGAGCATTTTCACTAGGTGAGAGCTCCTTGCCATGTGTGAGTGTGGAGATGACCTCAGCTTCTCCAACTCCGTGTAGCCAACTCTGGGCAAAGCCAGCAGGTGTCTGATCTAACAACTCAAGAGGAAGGATGAGAATGGCAATGATGGGACATGGCCAGAAAGTCTGAGCTCTACACAGGGACCTCACTCAGAAGCGGGTTTGAAGGAGTCCCAGCATCCATCCAGAGGAATATGCCATGTGCCACCATGAAGGCTGTGCAGCAACAAGAAAAATGCTAGTTCCTATTACACAGGCACGATTTTTTTTAGCACCATGGAAAAAAAACCATTGCATTGAATAAAATGTGCAATAGAAAAAGACTGCATTCAGATGTAGGCTGTAGTTTTTTTGTTTTTGAGATGGAGTCTTGCTCTGTTGCCCAGGCTGGAGTATAATGGCACGGTCTCAGCTCACTGCAACCTCCACCTCCCAGGTTCAAGCAATTCTCCTGCCTCAGCCTCCTGAGTAGCTTATATTATAGGTGCTTACCACCACGCTGGCTAATTTTTGTATATTTAGTATTTCAGGGTTTTACACCATGTTGGCCAGGCTGGTCTTGAACTCTTGACATGGTGATCTGCCCGCCTCAAGCTCCCAAAGTGCTGGGATTACAGGCATGAGCCATTGCGCCCGGCTAATATAGGCTATTTTTTTTTTTTTTTTTTTAATTTGAGGTCCCTGTGTAGAGCTCAGACTTTCTGACCATGTGTCACTCTGTTGTCACCCAGGCTGGAGTGCAGTGGCATGACCACAGCTTATGATAACCCTGAACTCCTGGGCTCAAGTGATCATCTCTCCTCAGCTTCCTGAGCAGCTAGAACTACAGGCATGAACCACTGTGCCTGACTACTTTTATATTTTTTGTAGAGATAGGGTCTTACTATGTTGTCCGGGCTGGTCTTGAACTTCTGGCCTCAAGTGATCCTCCTGCCTCAGTCACCCAAAGTGTGCTGGGATTATAGGTGTGAGCCACCATGCCTGTCTCAGGATGCAGCTTAATTTTTTTTTTTTTTTTTTTTTTTTTTTTTTTGAGAGGGAGTCTCACTCTGTTGCCTAGGCTGGAGTGCAGTGGTGTGATCTCAGCTCGCTGAAACCTCCGCCTTCCAGGTTCAAGCTATTCTCCCACCTCAGCCTCCTGAGTAGCTGGGACTACAGGTGTGCACCACCATGTCCAGCTAATTTTTTTATTTTTAGTAGAGATGGGGTTTTACAAAGTTGGTCAGGCTGGTCCTGACCTCAAGTGATCTTCCCATCTCGGCCTCCCAAAGTGCTGGGATTACAGGTGTGAGCCACTGTGCCTGGCCCAATATATTTTTCTTTTGAGACATTCTTCATCCATTGCCTAGGCTGGAGTATGGTGGCACAATCATGGCTCACTGGAGCCTTGATTTCCTGGGATCAAGTGATCCTCCCACCTCAGCCTCCTGAGTAGCTGGGAGTACACACACATACCACCATGCCCAGCTGATTTATATTTTTCATATAAAGACAGAGTTTACCTGTGTTGCCTAGGCTGGTCTCGAACTTCTCGGCTCAAGGGAACCACCTGCTGAGGCTTCCGAAAATGCTGGGATTGTGAACCACTGTGCTGGATGTGGGCTATTTTAAGCTTTTCTTTTCTCATTTTAAAACATGATGTGGGCCGGGCGCGGTGGCTCAAGCCTGTAATCCCAGCAATTTGGGAGGCCGAGGCAGGTGGATCACGAGGTCGAGAGATGGAGACCATCCTGGTCAACATGGTGAAACCCCGTCTCTATTAAAAATACAAAAATTAGCTGGGTGTGGTGGCGCCTGCCTGTAATCCCAGCTCAGGAGGCTGAGGCAGGAGAATTGCTTGAACCCAGGAGGCGGAGGTCGCGGTGAGCCGAGATCGCGCCATTGCACTCCAGCCTGGGTAACAAGAGCGAAACTCCGTCTCAAAAAAAAAAACCATGATGTGGTTAATAGCTATGTCAAAGCAAAAACTCCACATATTTATGCGTTTTGCATATATTAATACAGGTGTGGAGGTTGGTTTTGGTGAAATGGCACCAACTTTTAAAGTTTCCTCAGGAAGAAGTTATGTTCCCAGAATTATTAAGACTAGACTCAGATCTGAAAAACTGCTCTGCAGGTGGCAAGCCACTTTCCGACTCTGTGGTCACACCGGCCAGCCAGAGTCACTGTAACTTTGGGTGGTGGGGAAGACATACCCCACGGAAAGCCTGGGTCAGGAGAGATGAAGCATGAGGGTCAGGGTGTCCAGGCTTGTGAGCAGCGGCCTGTGCATCACCAGACCCCACACACCAATGACCCCCGCTATCCCCACCCGGTTTACCCCAGGGAAGGGGCTCCTGAGGGGAACTCACTACAAGAGAAGATTCTACTTATCTGGTCAAACCATATCCCCAAGCATACATGGAGAGAAAAGCCACACGGGAGAATGTGGGCCCAGCCCCAACTCCCCTCCCATGGCAGGGCCTCGCTGTGGAGGTCCCTGGGGCAGGAGGATGCAATGTCAACCTCCAGGGTCAGTCTGGGGCATCGGTCTCCAGTCCCACCAGCAGATGACTGAGTCCAGGCGCTCCTGCTTCTGTGTCCTCCTTTTACCCTCCCCGGCTTTCACCTTGTCTCCAGAAAGGACAGGGCTTGCCGGGCAGGCCCTGCTCTTACGTGACCCATTGAGGAGTCAGGGTCCCTTTGTTTGCCATGGACCCTTTAGCCCTCTGCCAACATTTCTTGGGCCCCTGGGTTTAAGCGGCTGACCCCGGCTTCCAGCTTGGGTCCAACCCAAACGAGAAAAGACCTTTTACCTGCTGCAAATGATGTGATGGAGGTGTGTTGATGCCCACTGAGGCCAGGGGCAGCTAGCAAGGGAGTCCTACCCTGTAGTGACTAAAGGTACACTGGGCTGCAGGTTTAGCCACCAAGTCCTGCCCCAGATTAGGAAGAATGAGATGCCTCCTGGTCCACTGTGAACCTTTTCAATTGCATATACAACACAGCCAAGGAGAAGTTACTGTGTAAAGTTTCTTAGTCAAGATGTGGCTGGGTCCAGGCTCTAATGTCAAACGACGGGAACTGAAGTGGGGGTGGTGACAGTCACCGTACAGCCTGCCCTGCCAGCTCAGTATCTCCCAGCGGTAGCCAGCAGGCAGGTGCAAATTGTAGAACCAAGATGATGCCACCTGCTTTCACAGCAGTTGACTTCTACAGAGCCAGGCAACACTAAGGCACAAAGCGTCCAGAGGGTGGCGGCCACATCCTAGACATTTACAGGCATCCCCCTCCCACTCACCAGTATGAGGTTAAATCGGTCGCTTGCCAAGGCGGAGGGATCCAAGCTCCGAATCTGAACCTTTTTCCTCTCCATGCAGCTGAGACGCAGCTCGTGGGCTAAACTGCAGAAACAGAGGGTGAGGGCATGGATGCTGTGCTGACATCCGTGAAGATTCGGGGGTCTTCGCCCTTCCCTGCCTGCTGAAGCCCATCTCTCCTTGTCAGCCTGTTCCACAGTACTTCTCAGCAATGGAGCTGAGCAAGATCCCAAATTATCTGAATTTGAGTTTCCCCACAGAATGCTCGGGAAGACGAAAATGAAGAACTGGGTGGCCCATTTGCAGAGTCAAAGAGTGGGAGTTAGAGGGAGTTGTGTCTGCATCACCCAGTACAGCGCCTTCTCCTGGGATGACGAAAGTGCTGGAGACGAAACAATGGGCTGGGGGGCACTCCGCTGCTGGGCAGAGCCTCTCCATGAAGGATGAAGAGGAACAGATCTCACTAGATTTTTAACTCTTTCTGTCTCAGAAGGAGGGAAACAGAGGAGGGGCCTGCCCTGCCTGATACCCACGGTGTTTCTGGCCTTCCCTGAAGGGGCACTGCTCCAAGGTGCAAGCACTGCCCCCAGGAAGCCGCCTCAAGTGCAGGGTTCTTCACTTGCCCACGTACAGTGGGGGCAGGAGACGCAGGCTTGGGATCTCAGGGATTGTCTAGCTTTACCTTGAGCAAACCACTCCACCCTCTCTCCCTAGCCTCCTGCAAGAGCCCTTCTCCTCCACTCTACAGAGAGAACAGCTTTCTCAGGGTGGGTTTAAGCAGCAGAAGGCAGGGTGTGAACCGCAGCCCTCGACTGTGCAGATGCCTCACGGGGTAGCCACATTGTCTATCGATTGGCTTCTTGGACCATGAAAATAAGAAACAAGAAAAGAACATTCATGAAGAAAACGTAACAATGAGGTATTGTCTTACCGGCAATAACTGCTGACGTTGAGAAAACCCAGCTGGCTTTTTCGTAGCATGGAAGATGCATTAAATCCCCTCCTGACAATCTAGATTTATTACAGAAAAGAGAACAATTTGGTGAAGATTTATTTGCTATGGGATAATGGAGAATATGTTTTTAGTTCCACAGGATGCAATGAAGGAAACAGGAACTAAACTGACAGAAATTATATGCCTAAAAATCCGATGGTGTCCTCTCCAATCTCCTTTCCTTGGCAAGAGGAAAGGCCCAGCACAAGAAAGGAAGAGCGGGAAAGTCTGCCCTTCAACTCTGCCCGAGCTCCCCATCCATATACACCCAGGTGCCGGAGCCACCAGGCGTGTGAGTGCAGCAATGGGACTGGAACCAGGTCTGCGCCTGCTCTCCATTCCCCTCGTGGTGACCCGAGACTGGAACTTTCCGTTCCATTGCCTACCTTGACAACAAAATATCCCGGCATCTAGATCTGTTGTCAAGATGGCCTGTACTCCAAACCATGCCTCCTGGTCTTCTCTTTAAAAAAGACAGTTGGGCTGGGCATGGTGGCTCATGTCTGTAATCCCACACTGTGGGAGGCTGAGATGGGCGGATTACTTGAGGCCAGGAGTTCGAGACCAGCCTGGCCAACATGGCAAAACTCCATCTCTATAAAAAAAAAAAAAAAAAAAAAAAAAAAAAATTAGCTGGGCATGGTGGTGGGCGCCTGTAATCCCAGCTACTCTGGAGGCTGAAGCAGGAGAGTCACTTGAACCCGGGAGGTTGGAGGTTGCAGTGAGCTGAGATGGCGCCACTGTACTCCAGCCTGGGCATTGAGGGAGACTGTCTCAAAAAACAAAAAAATAGTTACTGAAATTATATCACACTGCCTTCCAAGATTCCTTCAGGAAAGACAAAATGTTAGAACTGCTGAGGAAGGCCAGATGTGGTGGCTCACATCTGCAACTCAGTACTTTGGGAGGCTGAGGCGGACAGATCACCCGAGGTCAGGAGTTCGAGACCAGCCTGGCCAACATGGTGAAACTCCATCTCTACTAAAATTACAAAAATTAGCCGGGCGCAGTGGCACACACCGGTAGTCCCAGCTACTCCGGATGCTGAGGCAGGAGAATCGCTTGAGCCTGGGAGGAGGAGGTTGCGGTGAGCTGAGATTGTGCCATTGCACCCCAGCCTGGGCAACAGAGATGCTGTCTCAAAAAAAAAAAAAAAAAAAAAAGAAGAAAAAAAAAAACTGCTGAAGAAACGTAGCAAACAAGAAAAGGCGGATGGGAGGAGGGGCTCCTGGCTGTTCTTATTCTTGCCTTCATCTTCCTGTCAGGGAAAAGCAGGGGCCACACCCCCTGAAGTGCGTCTGCCAAGGGTGGCGGGGCCTCTCACCGGCGGCCTTTTCAACAGTGGACGGGTGCTGGCAGGAGCAGAGAGGACCGGGGACAAAGGGGTGAGGAGCCCACCTTTTTCTGCTTGTCCTCTTCCTCGAGCAGCCGCAGTCTCTTGCTCTCCGTTTCCTTCTGCCGGATGCTCTCTTTGGTGAGGGGGTTGCAGTTGTTATGTCCAGGGAGCAAGCGGAAGTAGCGTTTCTTCTCAGGGTCGTAGTAATACCCAGGTAGCTCTTCAGACAAAAAAATTAAATGCACGAATTTCAACCACTGTGAACTGACCGCCTGAGTTGGGCGCCCAGCGGCCTGTCCCCGCCCCGCACGGCTGCCTGTCTTTGCTGAGAGCGGGGATGAGCTGCCTTGTCAGGGGACAGCCTGGACTGTGCTCAGCGCCGGGGGAGACGCTGTGCCTCAGGACCACCATTCCCGACACACCCAGCTCCTTCCTCGAGCATTTCAATTTGTTCTTCCTTCAAAGCCAAGAACAGGTCTCAGCCTTCCCTGCGCACAGGGGCCAGGGGTCCCACCCAGCAGGTGGCCTTACCTGGCACAGAGGAGGCCCCAGCTGTGCCAGACGAGGTCGACGGAGACTCCTCATCATGGCTGCCAGAATCTTGAGCGGGCCGCGCTGCCCGGGAGTTGGACCTGTTGACACACAGCTGTGTTCACTTGCAGCCTGAGGCTTGAGCTCCAGTCATCCTGACCTGGGGTCCCTTCGGGCAGTTCTGCAGCCTTCACCTCTGATCTCTGACTGTTCTGATTGCTTGCGAAGCACTGATCCCCTCTTGCAAATACAACAAAATAAGGGCAAGGTTTTGGTTTTTCGTTCTTTTTTTCTTTCTTTAAAAGAGGATAGATGTCACAGTGATTCCCTCTTCTTGCCTCCTCACTTGAGCATTTTGTGAGGTCTTTTGGAATTTTCCAGATAAAAACGAAAAATAGAAATCTCTGCCAATAAGAATTTTACCAGCTGGGCTCATTTGTCAGCACAACAGCAGTGACAAGGCCAGATGAATTTCATTCTTTATTGAATTCAGTAGCACAAAGAGTTTACATTTTACTTGACTATCGAATCTTAAGCATAGAGAAACTGGGCTTTGGGAGACCGAAGTGTTTAGCTCAGCTAAACACTGGGATAGAGCCATGGCTAAAACACCTGATGTGTAAATGCACAAGTAGCTTCTGTGGTAATTATAGGCTGAAGGATGTAGTAGAGGAGTGTGCCTCCACACTGGCTAATTTTTGTATTTTTAGTAGAGACGGGGTTTTGCCATGTTGGCCACGCTGGTCTCGAACTCCTGACCTCAAGTGATCCGCCTGCCTCAGCCTCCTAAAGTGCTGGGATTACAGGCATGAGCCACCATGCCCAGCCTAGCCAACTTTATTTTTAAAATACATTTAATGTAGCCTTGGCCTGGCATGGTGGTTCAAGTCGTAATTCTAGCACTTTGGGAGGCGGAGGCAGGTGGGTCACTTGAGCTCAGGAGTTTGACATCAGCCTGAGCAACACAGTGAGACCTTGTCTTTTTTTTTTTTTTTTTTTGAGACGGAGTCTTGTTCTGTTGCCCAGGCTGGAGTGCAGTGGGATAGTCTCAGCTCACTGCAACCTCCACCTCCCAGGTTCAAGCGATTCTCCTGCCTTAGCCTCCTGCATAGCTGGGACTACAGGCACATGCCACCAAGTCTGGCTTTTTGTATTTTTAGTAGAGGTGGGGTTTCACAGTGTTAGGATGGTCTTGATCTCCTGACCTCGTGATCCACCTGCCTCGGCCTCCCAAAGTTCTGGGATTACAGGCGTCAGCCACCGCGACCGGCAAGACCACATCTCAAGTAAATACATAAATTTAACAAAGCCTAGTGTACAGCGTTTTTAAAGTCTACACTGGTATACAGAAATGTCCTCAGCCTTCATGCTCACTCATCACTCACTCACTGACTTCCAGTCCTGCAAGCTCCATTCACAGGAAGGGTCATATATAGGTATATCATTTAAAAAAATCTTATATACCCTATTTTTACTGTATGTTTTCTGTGTTGAGATACACAAATACCACTGTGTCCTGACTGCCTCTAGTATTCAGTACAGTCACATGCTGTAGAGGTTTGCAGCCCAGAAGCAATCGGCTACACCATATGGCCTAGGTGTGTAGCAGCTGTACCATGTAGGTTTGTGTTAAGTACGTGCTATGATGTTTGTATGACAAAACTGCCTAACAACGTATTTCTCAGAATGCACCCCCCATTGTTAAGCGAAGCATGAGTGTATATCCTTGTCCAAGACTTAGGCTGAATTAATAAAATTTGGTTTCCATAAAGGTATTTTCATAAAAAGTCTATAGAATGGAGAAACGGTTTTCCAGTTGTATAACATAACATTGACCTCTAGTCTTATGGCTGATGCTCTGGCCAGAAGTTGTGGTCACTTAGGAAAGAACAGAGGGTGGTCCTCTCTCCTCACCACTCAGTGCGGTGGGCTGACCCACCACCGCGACCCGCCCTGGGAGCATGTCAGGAATGCAGTCTCTCCTCAGGACCCCTTAGACCCACGGAATCAGCACCTGCCTTCGGACGAGCCCCCAGCGAGCTCCAGGCCTGGGAGCGTGTGACATGCCACAGGTACAATGCCAGAAGCTCGCTGGGCAGTGGCTCCCCAGAGCGGCACACTTGCCTGTCGTCAGAATCACGGAGTCTGAACCAAGGGTTCTGCTGGTGGCTGCTTCTCCCACGTCTTCTCCTACTCTGCCAGCTACTTTTATTCATTTCAGTTCCTAAAACAGAAACACGAAGACGACATGTATCTCTGTGTGTGGGTGTGGGCTTTTCTTGTTTGCTTCTTTTTTTTTTTTTTTTTTTTTTTTTTTTTTTTTTTTGAGAAGGAGTTTCGCTCTTGTTACCCAGGCTGGAGTGCAATGGCGCAATCTCGGCTCACCGCAACCTCCGCCTCCTGGGTTCAGGCAATTCTCCTGCCTCAGCCTCCTGAGGAGCTGGGATTACAGGCACGTGCCACCATGCCCAGCTAATTTTTTGTATTTTTTTTTAGTAGAGACGGGGTTTCACCATGTTGACCAGGTTGGTCTCGATCTCTCGACCTTGTGATCCACCCGTCTCGGCCTCCCAAAGTGCTGGGATTACAGGCTTGAGCCACCGCGCCCGGCTCTTGTTTGCTTCTTAACAGCTGCTTCATGCTCAGCACCAGCAAGAGGCTGGCCCACCCTGGGTTACCGTTAGATTTGCCGCACCAAGCCTTCCCTGGAAAGGGATGCCTCCAGCACTTGACCGACACCCTTCCCACTTCCCTCCTCTCACCTCTAGTAGACCGCACAGTTCCCCGTCCCACAGAGACGCTACCAGGCACGAATTCCCTAACTTCACTCCCTTCCACAGATACCTGCCTTGATTAGCTGTCTCCTTCCTTGTCTTGGACAACAGGGGTCACTGCTGCTTTTCAAGGCAGACCCATCCCACCTGGCTGTTGCTCTCATTCCTTCCCAGGAACTGCAGACATCTGTTCCCACATATGTTAATGTCTCCTTCTCATCTCAGCTTAAAAACATGCTCAGATTTTTTCATTTGTATATGTTCCATTTCTAAACCAAAAAGCATGGGAATCTTCTCAAAGAATGGTCTACATTCACGAATTCAATGTCTTCATCTCCCAATATTCCTTAACCCACTGCAGTCAAGCTTCCTCTCTCCTCAGCTTTCTGCTAAAATGCTCTTGCTCATGATCACCTGCTTGCCAAAGATGAGCGGTCTCTTTTTAGCCCTTATTCCTGCAACACGTGGCACCAGGAAGCCACATTCTTCCTTTGGCTTCTGTAATATCTCTTGGTTTTCTTCTTGCTAAATCAATCCTTCGCTCTTTTCTCCTGGGTCACACAGCCCGTGTGTGCTTTCCATTGTTCTGCCCTAGATCCTCCTCTTTTCATACTTAACACCATCTCATCCACCAGTGCAGCTCCAGCTCCAATCCTAGCACCCGGGCTGAGCTTCAACTTCCTATGCTGCTTCCTGTCTATTTCCACAGACTCAACAGGTTCAAAAGTGAGTTCATAATTTCTTCCTAACCCCCGATCTGCTCTTTTGCCTGTCTACATTTGTCTTCTCTGAAAATATCCCTGCCAAGTGCAGTGGCTCAAGCCTGTAATCCCAGCACTTTGGGAGACCGAGGCAGGTGGATCACCTGAGGTCAGGAGTTTGAGACCAGCCTGACCCACATGGAAAAACTATGTCTCTACTAAAAATACAAAATTAGCTGGGTGTGGTGGCGCATGCCTGTAATCCCAGCTACTTGGGAGGTTGAGGCAGAATTGCTTGGACCCGGGAGGCGGAGGTTGCAGTGAGCTGAGACCTCCATCACTGCACTCCAGCCTGGGCAACGAGAGTGATACTCTATCTCAAAAAAAATAAAAAAATAAATAAAAATAATATCCCTGTCCCTGCAGCCCAAAAGTTTGTTTTGTTTTGTTTTTGAGACTTAGTCTCACTCTGTCGCCCAGGCTGGAGTACAATGGTACCATCTTGGCTCACTGCAACCTCCACCTCCTAGGTTCAAGCGATTCTCCTGATTCATCCTCCTGATTCTCCTGACTCATTCTCCTGAGTAGCTGGGATTACAGGTATGTGCCACCACGCCTGGCTAATTTTTGTATTTTTTAGTAGAGATGGGGTTTCACCATGTTGGCCAGGCTGCTCAAGAACTCCTGGCCTCAAGTGATCCACCTGCTTTGGCCTCTCAAAGTGCTGGGATTACAGGCATGAGCCACCGTGCCCGGCACCAAAAGTTTTATCTTATTCATTGTCCTGAACAATGGCTCCTGAACACCACGTGTGGGTTTCTCTATGGATCAGTTATCTTATATTCCAGCTGAAGACTACAGTTGTATTTATTAATAGTTAAGTTATACACTGAAAGGCACAGGATGGGAAGCACGTGTGGCCAGGGTTAAGACTGGTAGGAGGGCCAGGCGCGGTGGCTCATGCCTGTAATCCCAGCACTTTGGGAGGCCGAGGCGGGTGGATCACGAGGTCAAGAGATCGAGACCATCCTGGTCAACAAGGTGAAACCCCGTCTCTACTAAAAATACAAAAATTAGCTGGGCATGGTGGTGCGTGCCTGTAGTCCCAGCTACTCGGAAGGCTAAGGCAGGAGAATTGCCTGAACCCAGGAGGCAGAGGTTGTGGTGAGCCGAGATCGTGCCATTGCACTCCAGCCTGGGTAACAAGAGCGAAACTCCATCTCAAAAAAAAAAAAAAAAAAAAAAAGACTGGTAGGAAAATGGCTGTGTGTGGTAGTTCATACGTGTAATCCTAGCACTTTGGGAGGCTGAAATGGGAGGATCGCTTGAGCCCAGAGTTTGAGACCAGCCTGGGCAATATAGTGAGACCCCATCTCAAAAAAAAAAAAAAAAAAGAAAACAACTAATAGGAAAAATAAGCCCTACTGACATAAAGCTTATTATTATTATTATCAACTCCATAAAAAGGTCAAAATTTCTTGGTGCACATTGTGTATATGAAATGATTCTAATTTGTTTTAATTATGCAACAATGCATGAATACAGCAAGGAACACATGAACTGGTGAGTCAGACTTCAGATCACTCACAGGAGATAGGACTGTGTCCCACTCACACCATTATTCTCAACAGTGGGCTGTACAATCAGCAGGATGCAGCTGATGATAAAATCACTGAGAAGTGCTGATCTGGCCCAAGGAGAACACGTGTTCACTCCTAACTCATATAGCACAGGTACAGCCACTGCAATCCAGTAAGGGAGTCTGCCAACATCAAGTGGTATTGCTAGCAAGGTCAAGCAAAAAGCATTTTAAAGGCCGGGCATGGTGGTTCACACCTGTAATCCCAGCACTTTGGGAGGCCAAGGCGGGCGGATCATGAGGTTAAGAGATCAAGACCATCCTGGCCAACACGGTGAAACCCTGTCTCTACTAAAAACACAAAAATTAGCTGGGCGTGGTGGCGTATGTCTGTAATCACTGCTACTTGGGAGGCTGAGGCAGGAGAATCACTTGAACTCAGGAGGGAGAGGTTGCAGTGAGCCCAGATCATGACACTGCATGCTAGTCTGGGCGACAGAGTGAGACTCCATCTCAAAAAAAAAAAAAAAAAAAAAAAAGTCACACTAATAGAAGCCTTCCAAATACAGAAAAAGTAAGTTTAAAGACTAAGACAAAGTATCTTTCTAGTACTTTTTTTTGTTTTGTTTTTTTTTGAGACGGAGTTTCGCTCTTGTAACCCAGGCTGGAGTGCAATGGCGCGATCTCAGCTCACCGCAACCTCCGCCTCCTGGGTTCAGGCAATTCTCCTGCCTCAGCCTCCTGAGTAGCTGGGATTACAGGCAGGCACCACCACGCCCAGCTAATTTTTTTGTATTTTTAGTAGAGACGGGGTTTCACCATGTTGACCAGGATGGTCTCGATCTCTTGACCTCGTGATCCACCCGCCTCGGCCTCCCAAAGTGCTGGGATTACAGGCGTGAGCCATCGCGCCCGGCTCTAGTACTTTTAAGAAGGCTGTTCAGGGGTTGGGAATGTGTCTTCTCCAAATACAAGTGCGGCTGATTCTCTATGGCTGCTTTACGGTCCATGCTTGCACTCATCACTCATGACTCTGTGTTTCTGCTCCCATCTCATACTGGATGTGAGGTGAATTCTATAAGGCAAACGTCCTACCTTGTTATTTTTTCTGTTCCTAGCGTCTATGACCTAGTTGATGCTTAGTAAATTTTTGCTGAACCGAAGCAAAGCAAAACAAAACCTGTGGCTACTTTAAATCCCAGGCAGCTTCTTTCTTTCTGGCTTATTTCCATTTACTATTCCGCACACAATTACAGAGCGCCCACTCCCTGTCAGGCACTGGGGAGTGGAAAAAGGTAATAAGCTGTGCTCCCTGGCCTTGAGGCACTGATTGTTTAATATGGGAGTCAGATGCACAGACCAACCCCTGCAGTGCAGGATAGGCGTTAAGACCCAGGTCTCTCCAGGTGTGGTGGGAGAGAAGGGAGTGACTCCTCCACACGCACGGGCCGGAGGTGGGGGAGAGAGCTAAGTGCAGTCTGAAGAATGAAAATGCCGGGCCGGGCGCGGTGGCTCAAGCCTGTAATCCCAGCACTTTGGGAGGCCGAGGCAGGTGCATCACAAGGTCAAGAGATCGAGACCATCCTGGTCAACATGGTGAAACCCCGTCTCTTACTAAAAATACAAAAAATTAGCTGGGCATGGTGGCGCGTGCCTGTAATCCCTGCTACTCAGGAGGCTGAGGCAGGAGAATTGCCTGAACTGGGGAGGCGGAGGTTGCGGTGAGCCGAGATCGCGCCATTGCACTCCAGCCTGGGTAACAGGAGAGAAACTCCGTCTCAAAAAAAAAAAAAAAAAAAAGAAAATGCCAGGCAAGGAAGGGGAGTGGGGGCCTGCAGGCCGTTTGGTATGGCCAGAGTCTGAAGCTCAACAAATGGGGGGATGAGCCTGCAGAGGCTGGCAGGGCACAGTCATGAGGACTCTGGGTGTGCGGGGAGTGACATGATTAGATCTGCTAAGAACGGTGCCTGAAAGGGCCTCATTATGGAAGGTGACAGTGAAAACTACAATGGCAAGATGTAGGTGAGATGAACTCATTTACGTATTATGGACGTGGTACTTGGGAGAGCAGAACCTGGATATAGATGTAGGCGGCAAATTTCATGGGAGAGGTGGAGAGAGGGTAAGTGAATAACTGGTAGAGCCATGAGCAGGGAGACTAATAATAAAG